AGTGGCTGCATCAAATTGCATTCCCACCAGCAGTGAGGAGGGTTCCATTTTCTCCACACCCTCTCCAGTATTTGTCATTTGTGGACTTTTGAATGATGGTCATTCTGACTGGTGTGAGGTGATACCTCATTGTAGTTTTGATTTGCATTTCTCTTATAATTAGTGATACTGAGCAGTTTTTCATGTGCATATTGATCATTTGTATGTCTTCCTTGGAGAATTGCTTGTTTAGGTCTTCTGCCCATTTTTGGATTGGGTTGTTTGTTTTTTTCTTATTAAGTCGTATGAGCTGTTTATATATTCTGGAGATCAAGCCTTTGTCAGTTTCATCTTTTGCAAATATTTTCTCCCATTCCTTAGGTTGTCGTTTTGTTTGGCTTACAGTTTCCTTTGCTGTGCAAAAGCTTTTAAATTTAATTAGGTCTCATTTGTTTATTCTTACTTTTATTTCTATTTCTCGAGTAGACTGCCCTAGGAGAACATTGCTGAGATGTAATATGAGATAATGTTTTGCTTACGTTTTCTTCTTGGAGGTTTATTGTATCTTGTCTTATGTTTAAGTCTAATCCATTTTGAGTTTATTTTTGTGTATGATGTGAGGGTGTATTCTAGCTTCATTGATTTACATGCTGCTGTCCAGTTTTCCCAACACCATTTGCTGAAGAGACTGTCTTTATTCCATTGTATGTTCTTGCCTTTTTAAAAAAATTTTTGTAACTTTTTTTTGTATTTTCATTTATTATTGTATTATTATTTTATTTTGGTAAGGTGGGAGATAATTAGGTTTATTTATTTTTAGAGGAGGTACTGGGGATTGAACCCAGGACCTCGTGCATGCTAAGCATGCACTCTACCACTTGAGCTCTACCCTCACCCTCTGACAAAACTTTTACTATAAATTGTTACTATTTCACCTGCTTTACATGAATGTTAATTTAGGTGAGATAAAATGAGAGTCTTTGATGCAAACCCCTCTGCTTGTTTCCTAAACTGTCCTGTTTCTTCATCTATAAAATGGTGATCATGAGGATTTAAGTGACTGAATTCACAAATACATAGTGCTTAGAGACGTGTTACATGATGGAAGTGATGAATAAATATTAGTTAAATTTACTATTATTAGTAGTGGTATTCTCATTGAATAGGGATTTCCATACCCAGTTATAGAATATATCAACATGGATAAATACTAAAAATTTATCTTATTTTCTATTTTAACCATATCTTAATGCTTGATATTCTGATAAGTCAATATTTACCAAAGAAAAATCTATTAGAATAAACATATCCAGCTCTTCTCTAGCCATGGTACATAGAATTATATCTTCCAAGACTTTAGAGTAAGTGGTTATT